TTTGCAGCTACTGAAGCGGTGGCAGCAGGAGGGGGTCTGTGTAGAGACCCTGTGACTGGACACGGGGGACCCTGAACACCAAGCTGGGATCAAAGACATGTAGAGATAAAGTTCTGTGTAAGGAGGAGTGGAAAGCAGCCAAAACGCTTTAATTGTCTTACTCTGCATATGTTAATGTATGAAGCATCATTAGAGACTGTGAAAGAGTAAATACATCCTTATCATGGCACGAAGACAACTTATATTCCTAGAAATTATGAGTCAGTACAAGCTGATATTATTTCTCCATCTCTCTCTGTGCTATGATTATCTTTCCACCCTCTGCTTCCTAGCTCTCAGAGCATTAGCTTTCCCCCACAGCACCATAACTGAGAGCACCCGCCTGCCACTGACTGCTATTCATTAACATCCATTTAAATGAGTGAGGGAGAGAGACCTGTGTTTGTTGCAGGGACTGTGAACAGTAATAGATTCTTTCTGGGGACTGTTGTTCGCTCCTGGAATTTGCCTGCACTAAGCTTTGGGCTTTTGGTTTGTGATCAGTGGTGTTAACACTAAACCATGCTTAAGGAAGTGCTGAGAGCCCCTATCAAAAAGGTAAGAGCTCATTTCTCCCTGGCCTGGTTTTAGCCCTCGTACTGGGTCTGCGGGTGACACTGCCCGGCTGTACGAGGTCTGAGTCCTCTGCACTGTGCGTACCTCTTTCCATCCGCTGGACATCTGTTGCCGTGAATTGGTTTCTTCTTCTTATCTCAATCTCTCTTCCCTGAGTGCCAAACCTAAACTGGGGCTGCAGCCAGGATTTCTCATGGATAGCTGATCTCCTGAGATCACCCCGTGCCAGAGCAGGGATCCTGCAGGAGCACAGTGGGGAGTCTGAGTGAGACCAGGCTGCGTGCAAGCCCACGGCCAGCCCGGCTCCTGGCTGTGGGTCCCGACAGCCCTTCCTGCCCATCCCAGGCAGCTCTGCTGCACTTCCACAGCACCCTGTCTGCAGCATTGGACTCCCTTTGCTTCCTAGCCACTCCGCTGCCTGCCCTCCATCCCAGAAACTGAGCTGGCCTCGACCTCAGCAGGCAGCAGCCTTTCCCCACCCCATCGCCCCACACTCACCCACCCAGCTGCCCCATGGAGAGCTCTTGAGGAAACCTCTGCTTTCCCTGCCATCCTGCACGGACTGTTCCTATAGCCCATACAGATCCTCCTCCCTCTCAGGGCTGCCTGCACTGGCTCTTCTGGATCTACACTGTTACTCAATGCCACAGCGAAGTCCCCATCCCATGGAAACTGTGAGCAGTCCTTTTCTTGTTGTGAGAAGGTAACATTTAAAGGCATCCCTTGGGCTATGCTATCTGGCAGCCCAGCTGGTGCTCTTTTGTGTGAGTGCCTCTTTTTTGAAATGCCAGCTCTGGTCTTAAAGCCAGCCAGCAGAAGGTACGGCTCACTCTCCCTGTAATTGATTCCTCATCACTTGGCACTGGCCTTTATTCTCCCTTTTGATGGGGAAGAAGGAATAATACAGATTACAAGACAAATGCGAAGATTGCCTTGTATGGGTAGAGCTAACAACAGGATTGCTGGTGTCCTGGGATTTTCTTTGTGTTTGCCTGTCTCTGGTCAGCTGGAGAGATTTAGGAGCAGATAGATGGCTTGTCTTTGTGTGTGCCTTGCCAACAGGTGCCCTTAGGAAATGCCAGACATATCTGATGGGGAAGATGGGGAAGGGGCGACGGTGACAGAAATAGGTAACAAAACTGGCCAGCTGGATTTGGACTAATACAGGAAACTGGGCATGATTGTAGTATAAAACCAGGCAAAAAGGGTGGCTGCAACAGCTGGTGCAGGAGAACACTCCAGATGGGCCTTTCCCTTCCCCACTGATGGGAGGCATGGGGCTTGGAGAGCAGGTCCCACTGGGCCTTCAGTTTGTGACCACTGGAAAGGCAGAAGAGCGTGAACACTTCTGTTCCCCATTATTTTCTTTCTCAGGTCTCGTAAAATGTTTGCTATGTTTCCGAGTTCCCCTCATAATTATCCTTCTCCATTATCATCATCACATCATGTCAGCAGATAAAAGGAGGTAAAAGCAGTTTGCTGAAGATGGCAATGGGCTGTGGATGGGCTTCTCACACCCCACGTGTGTGTGGAATGTGCATTGCTCCAGCATTACTGGGAAAGGGAGATGGTGTGGTTCTTTCCCAGCCTCCTTAACAGGGATTGCAGTCGGGGCTATGAGATCTGTCTCCCCTTCCTAACTCTGATTTGTAAGGCAGTCGTGGGCATGCTGTTCAACTGGTTTGACCTTTGGTTTTCCATGTCTAGACAGGGGTGGTGAAACACTGCACGTTGTGGCCAGATAATGAAGCTTCCTTTCCAATTGCGAACCTTTTGAAGAATGGCTGTTCAAATTCAATGTTGTTCTATTAGGGAATTTGGGGGCCAAAAGGTTGAAACTTTTTTCCTGATTCTGTAAGGACATGGAGCTGTCAGCTAGAATATGCTCAGGCTTGGGTTGGGTTTAAGCCAGGTATTCATGGCCAGGGCTTCAGGGGCACTAATTTGCATTCCAGATGCTTCTCTAAGTCCCTTTCTATCTTGCCTTCACTTCTTTCCTGGGGCATCAAAGTTCATTTGCCACCTGATTTGTCCCAGTGCTGGCTCCTCAGCCAGGCTCTTGGCGTGGCACATCCTAGCTGCAAGTCCCCAAATGAGGGTAGAATACACAGCAGTTGTTTTTAATCCTTGCTTGCTAGCAGCTTCATATTAATTCTTTGTTCACCCTCAGTCCCCCAGCTCACTACCTCTGGCATCTATAATTAGCTGCTCTGAACAGACTTTGTTGACATTGATCTATGGGGTTATGTAGTTCCTATGTGGGCCATCAGTTGGGCCAAGAGCCTCCATGACAACTGGGTATCCTTCCTAGAGAGACTTTCTGTCGCAGGAAGCTCGTGAGGGCAGGGAGGACACCAAGTAACCAGTGGCTCAAAACTGATTTTGCTGGGGGCTCTGTAGTGACTTCTCTCATTCTTGGCAACATGTTCCCAAGAGGGAAAACCCACTCACTTACTTCTGTCTCTCCAAGGTTGTGCAGTGCCAGCTGGTCTTGAGAGAGAGAAACAAGTTATTTCACTCCTCACCTTGGGTTGTGGTGTGCATCCCAAACTGAGTACCACCAGGGAAGGGAATTGGATACGCTCTCCCTGTCTCGTCAGGCCTTCATCTAGTTTTCTCAGCTAACCTTAGTGCCAATGTTTCTGAATATTTCCAGGCAATAACATGCCCCTCTTTCCTCAGTTCACTAAATTATACACATATTTCATTCTTTTAACCTTTTCTTGTAAGTCAGCCACTCAGAATCTAAACATTTCATCATCTTTATTATGCATCTCTGAACTCCTTGTGATGTATCTCTTGCTTTCTGACAGCCAGGAGCTCAACAGGGGTGCTTCCAGGTCCCTGTCCTTCACACAGTGTCCTCAAGGCCAATGTGCCAAGAATGAAGAATTTCAGGGGATTGTGTAGGAGGGAGGTTATGTAGGAAAGTCTCTTCCCCTGTCTCTTCCCTGACCTCTCGCTGCTGCCTCTCAGAAGGGTGTACCCGGGTGGAAATGCAGCATTCCAAGCGCAGGCAGGCTGTGGACATATAAGTAAGGGTTATTATTGCCTCTCTGCTCTCAGGTGTAATATGTCTGTGTATGGAGGCCAGAAACACTGATGAGCAACAGCGTGACTAGAGTTCTGATTGATTTTTTGGTTCACCAGCTGAAATGAAAAAAATAAAAAAATATGTTTCAGGTCAACCCTGAGTGAATGTTTAAAAATGTTTTTTCACTGAAAAAAAAAATGAAGAAAAACTTAGCTGAGGAGATTGCTAAAAATATGCTTCAGGGAAATGAACTGGGTTGCTTGCATTTGTGGGCGGAGAGTAGGGGGTTGTGACACTGTTTTCAGAGTGAGAACTGTAAACGCTTTCAGATTTGTTGGCTTTGGTTTTGGTTTAATGGCAGATGAAATGTTTCGGGAATTGCTTTGTTTGAAAGAACTTGAAGCCAGTGTCGATTCACAGGGTCTTTGTATCCCTCTGAAAACATGGGGCTGGGATGGTACAGGCAGTGCGGTACAGGCAATGCTGCCCGGCACCAGCAAAGGCCGGCTGCTCACTCCAAGGCTGCTTCCAGACCAAATGGAGACTGGGGACACAGGTTGACTTTTTGCAGCTGATGGCCAGGGCAAGGAGAGGGCTGTAAGCCACATAGCATACATCGGGTGTTAATGGTGGATGGGGAGAGGCAGACACATGTCCTGGGCTCCCCAGTTCAAGTGGGGTGGGGAGAAACTGGTTCAGGTCCAACTGGAGGGGCATCAGGATGGTCAAGAGCCAAGATCAGAAGTCCTGGGGAAGAGAGGTGGAGGGAGCTGGAGCTCAGTCTGGCAAACAGGAGGCTACTATCAGCCCTTGGCCCCCAATTGTTTGAAGGGCAAATTCAAAAATAACAGACCCAAAGTCATATGAGCAATATTAAACAATATAAAGGGAATAGCAGCCACAACTCGTGGCAGTGGAAGTTCACACTGGGCGTTAAGGAAAGCTGATTTCCTCAGGGGGTTACCAGACTTGGCCAAGCAAAGGCATGCTGCCCTGATATAGAGCTGGAGACAGCTTCAGGCAGGAGGTTGGGTGGGATGCCTCTGGAGGTCACTTGCTGCTAGCATTTCTGCCACCCCCTTCTTGTGCCACCCCCGCCATGCTACAGACTGCTTCTTTATTGTCCTGTCCTCTCTGTCTTCATCTGGGTCTGCATCCTCCCTTGGATAGCCCAAATGGATGAAACATTGCCAGCAGCATTTCCCCATCAGCCCAAGATGTTACCCTGGGGGCTATCCCTGGGCCGGCTGGGTCATACAGCTGTGGCTCGAGGCTCTACGCCAGGGGCCAGCCCAGGAGGCTGGACTGCCTGCGGGTCCCGGCACACCAGCACCCAGGTTCTCTCTTACAGGCTCCTTGAACCTGCTAGTTCGCGTGCGGAACAAGCGAGCCATCGACACCCAGGTCTGGTCGCTCAGTGGGAATCGGGGGAACATGTGGCAGCAAGCACACGTGCCCATCAACCCGCCTGGGCCCTTCCAGGTAAGTCAGGTCCACAGCCAAGGAGCCGCCTGTCCTATCCATATGCCGTGGGACATGTGAGACTTCCCAGCAGACATCTGCCTCCATGGCATGGGGGCTGCTCAGGCACAGGGAGGGCACTGGGACCTCTCCACCCGCGGGACTGGTGAGCTTGGTGGATGCACAGAAATCAAACCACCTCTCTCTGAAGCCATCCAACTTTGCTACATGAAAGCATCAGTTTGGCACTGCAAATTTTCTGATTATTGCTGGTCTGAAAATTGCTTGTCAAAGAAGCAACCTTCTGGTACCAGGTCCATGCGACAGGTCTCTTGGTGCTGAGCAGCTGGGAGATGCTGGCCCATTGGCATAAAATGTCTTTGAGCACTAGAAGTTTCTTCTAGCATGCGCTACAAGAGCCCACCCCCACAGTCCCCCTGGTTTAGGACTGTAGGACAGCTTGTGAACATGAAACAGGCACTCTATCTGCTCGCTGAGCCATTCCTACATACCTGGGACGTGGGCTGCTTTGTTATTGGCTGTTTTACTGCTGATGTTTTCACCCAACATGCTGCTTTGCCACTGTAGGGTTGTTTTTGAGAGCTGGGTCTATGCTGGCTGGTAAGTTGTGGCACTGTGGCAAGATGCCCAGCATGATTTTGGGTACTTTAAAATAATAAATAAGAATTTAATTACTCTTGCAAGCACTGTTCAGTGTTGGTTGGTTTGTTAGTGCAGCACACTTAATAAAGCAGAGCTCTACATGCTCATTTATTAATCTGCGGATGCTCAGCACACAGGTCCTGTAAGCAGTGGGGTTCAGCTCTCCAGATCCTGTGGGTACTGGAGAAACAGGGAGGAATCATTCACTTGGGGACCTGATAATATCTGGTCTGCACCCTGCTCACCTCTGCAGAGTCCCACAGCACAGGAAGGGTCCTCCACAACTGCAGCCTCACGCTGGGCTCTGTCCCATGCCTTGCTTGCAGATCATCTTCGAAGGTGTTCGGGGCACGAGCTATGAGGGGGACATCGCCATTGATGACGTCACTCTGAAAAAGGGGGACTGTCCAAGGAAGCCAATTGGACCAAATAAGGGTGAGAGTGAGTGTGCCTCAGAGAAAATGAGTTGGTGGGAGTGCATACATGGATGCATGCGCTAGGGATGCACAGCTGATTTCAGAGCACGTTGACATGTTATTGGGACTCAACAAGATGGTTGATAGCAGGAATCAGCACAGGGGCTGTCAGACTCTTGAACTTGTTCGTTAGAGTTGTAAGTTAGCAAGAGCTTGGAGGAACAGCCAGATCCTGTAGGGACTGGGCTGCCAGACACTGCTCAAGTCTGCACCAGTATGTTGAGCTGGGGCTGCCAGCCCCAAGCAGCTAAAGGCTTCTTCAGTATATCATTTCCTGAAAAACCTAGATATGGGAGCTTTGGAAAGGCAAAGACCTTCTGCAGGCTCTAATTGCCTCTGCAGCATTCAGTCAGTTCTTCAGGAAACAAAATCTGCTTTTGGGGGCCTGGAGCCAGGGAGGGCTGAGTTTCTTCCCATTTCTGCCTGAGCAGAGAGGCACACCCAGGCAGGGTATTGCGCATGTGGGATGGGAGCTGTGTATCACCTCCCTCCCAATCCTGACAGTGAGTGCTTGACCTAAATCTCACCAGCCCCTTTCCAGTCCATCCACATCATCCTGGTGCCAGCATTGCAGAGATGGAGACAACTCCATGCTCGCCGAGGTGCACCGTAGGTTGAAGCCATAGCAAGGTGTGTAAGCAGTATGTATGGCATCAGTCCTTGGGTGGGAAGTACTGGTGTGCCTGGTGCCTGAGTCGCGCCTGCGCCCTCAGTAACATGCCGCAGGAGAGCAGATGTTCGGCAGATGCAAACCAGAGCCAGATGGGTGCTTGTGAGCAAGATCCTGTTTGTCTTACTTGTTTTTGAAGGACAAACCCGTGTTGAGGAAGAGTCACTTTCAGCAATTTTATTAACTCCAGAGGTGAAGAGGGAAACAAAACATCAAAAAAAGTCAGAACACCCTGAAAATGTCAAAATTTCAGGTGCAGTTAAAGGTCTGTTTTGGCCTCAGATGGCCAAGCTGTAACCAAAACTCAAACAGAACCTTTTGTTTGGCACAAGCTGAATCTTCTGGGGAAGAAAGGAGGGTTGGACTGCAAAAGTAACTGAGATTCAACCTCTTCTCCAGAGATGGAAAAGAAATAATTTTGGGAAGCCTTGAGAGTGCCCAGGGAAGGCTAGAAAGATCTTCCAATAGATCTAGGAGATGATTTGTGGTTTGGGGTTGGGAGGAGGAGAAGCTACGACACTGATGTGCATGGACTTGTTTGATGAAGTCTGGATCTGTGCCGTCACTAATTCTTTTTCTCTCTTCTCGGCTGACAGCGGTTGCTCTTCCAGGAAGCGGTGTCCCGGCCTTGTACAGCCCTTGTCTTTGTGGCCCATTGACTTTCTTCCTTTACGTGCTGCTCAGATGATGGCAAGCGAG